TCTTTCTTTCTTTCTTTCTTTCTTTCTTTCTTTCTTTCTTTCTTTCTTTCTTTCTTTCTTTCTTCCTTCTGCCAAATAAAGATAGAACTTTTCCATTGAAGCTGGAAATCTGCATTCCCAAAAGGCAAACCCACCCCAACTTATAAGCACTCAAATTTAAGAATGACTTGGTTAAATGAATTTAAATGTCTAAGTCAACTTTCAATTATAAAGATTATGTGAATTTTGTCTTACTCGGATATTCTTCTAAATTCTAAATCGCAGGCTTCCATTTTCTCTTTACAAGGTATCTCTGTAACTTGAGCATCTATCAGTTGTGAATAGTTACCAAACTCTCTGCCTCTAGTTTCAAATTAATTTAGGTCTGATCTTTACGGTAAGGTTTAAGATAATTGCTTTAGTACTATTAAAATTTAAGATATGCTTCCACCAAATGAAAAGGCAAAAAACAACTTCAATTTTATTTTATACTTTAACCAATAAAAAACAATAGCACATTTTTTCATGCCTGCTCACTAGCTTTTTTTTTATTTTTTTGAGCTACACCTTAAGTCTACTCTGAGCTCACCCCTCTCCACAATATATCATACCTTCATAGAACATGTTTACCTTAATTAATTCCCCATATAATATGTGACTCAGATTAAATACATTATAATCTGGAATATTAATTCCTGCCCTTCAAGAATGCCTTTTTGTTTACTGAGTTTTCAAATGTGATTGAATAGAGCACATCAAAGTAATATGATGATTTCTCACCCAGTCTAACAATGATTCCTAATTTTCTTTTTTTACAGTATAAGCAAGTGGAACAATACATGTCGTTCCATAAATTACCCGCCGATATGCGCCAGAAGATTCATGATTATTATGAACACAGATACCAAGGCAAAATCTTTGATGAGGAAAATATTCTCAGTGAACTCAATGATCCTCTGAGAGAGGTAAGGTTTATAGTTCTTCATCTCCATGGTGCACCAGTATTGTTTATTTTCTTTTTTCATGGGAAATCCTAATGCAGATCCTAAGCCAGTTATGCATCTATAAAGGAAAAATCAGCACTAAATATGAACACACCATTTCTATCCTTATATTTCCCTATGTCCTTCCACATAGGCTTTGCATTGCTTTGAAAAAAATATTACAGAAAGGTTCTTATAACTATGATTTTCAAAATGGTTTTATTTTTTACTTCAAATTATCAAACTTCCTTGTAATGGCTTCCCTGCCCATGTTTTAGCAATCGTACATTCTCTGACCTCATGCTTACTGATTTATTTCTCTTTTACTTCTGCTCTCTAACAATCTTCATTTTCTCTGGTCATCTCCTGTATTCTGATCTCAGTCAGATCTTATAACTGGGAGCAACTGATGTCATATTATTCCATTAAAAATATTTTTCAACATCAATAACCACTTACTTGCCTCGTATCTTCTTTCCATCTCTACCTGGAAGCCTTCTCTCTGCCTACGAGAATATTCAGGTCACCCCTAGACCTAAACAATATCCTCTTAATTGTTCATATTTCTTACAATGTTTTGCTTTTTCTCCTATATTTATATGAAACCTTCTCAAATGATTACCATATAATCATTTCACAGTATCTGATCTCTATTTCTTCACCATTTTTTTTTAATTATCAATGTCTCATTAACCATCAAGCCCTTCATCTTTGACCATTGATGGTACTTTTTAAACCTTTAACAAATCACATGTACAGGATCTCATTTTTGGGCTTCTTTAAAATCGAATGATTACTGAGCTATTAGTTTTTCCTTCTGTCCTTCTGAATTTTTTCTTTTATTTATTTCACCTCACACTTTAGTAAAATTTGAATTCCAAGTTGTTCCCATAGCACCATTTTCTTAAAATTTACCAGATCTCTCCTGACCCTATATATAATGAATATATCTACATATTCATTGCCTTCCATCGCTAAATCATTTATATTTGGTAAGACTGTGAATGTTTTAGTTAGTCTCTCAGGTCATTTGAAATGTGAAGCTCTGGTCCCTTTTGAATTTTTTGGTCCCTTTTGAATCTTTCTCTACTGTGTTGAATTTTTTTTCCACCCTGTGCCCTTGTGTGTTTCCTAGTACTATCACCCTCACTTCATGCTTCTCAGAGACTTTATGTACTGCCCCTTAGGTTTGCTAAATTCTGCCTTCTCTTACTACCATTTAAATCATCACTGCCGGGGGTCATCCCTAGTTGCACAAGGTTAAGTCTGCACTATCAAGCTCTCACTAGCCACTCTGACATGAATTTGATCCCAGCCCAGGGAGCTGACCCACATAGCACAGCAGACATCTCCTGCCTCATCCTCAGTGTGTACACTCAGCAGTGTATACACACTGCCATTTAAAAAAATAGAGAGTGCTGACAGAAAGTGTTAGTTTAAAAATGAATCATAAGGAATTTCATACACAGCTCACTGCTGTGTATACACTCAGCCGTGTATTTCAGTAGATCTGCCTGTTCTGATAGCCGCCCACTCTGTCTCTGGTAATCCTCTCACCCACCCTCACCTTGTATGCATAAATAAATAAATCTTTAAAAAAATAATAAAACATCACTGCCAAAGTAATCTTTTTATGTTTATAAGATGGCCATATCTGTCTCCGAAACTTTTAGTCTTTACATTATATTTTAAATCAAAGAAAGCATCCTAGGCTCCTATTCCAGTCATTCTGTGCTCGGAAAACCTCTAAATTTCCAGTTTTTCTTTTTCCCATTGTTCTTCATGCTCCAAATTGGCCTGCAGCCAACAGTATAACTTGCTGTTTTGCAAAAATCAATTATAATTTCTCACCCTTGCATCATATGTTTTCCAGAAATGTCTCTCATCTGTTGGCAAAGTCTACTTCAAATAATGCGTCTTTATTTATACCTTCTTTGATTTTTCTAGACTAGATCTCATAACTTTTCTCTGACTCCAAGTGCACTGACTCCATAACTTTTGGGACTACTTACACATTCTGCTTATCTTAAAGTAGAGAAAATTTTGAACTTTGTTCCTTAGAACAAATGTAAATTTCATTTACATTTTCTATTTTCTTGAAATTTCCAGTATATGTTACATCTATTAGGTAATTCTTTAAGTATTTTCATTTCATCTAATATCTTATAATATGTAAATTGTTACTAAATTTCCACATCCACTAAAAGTTATTTACGTTTTTGGGGCAAGCATTAAGATAGATGATGAGTTTGAACATTAAAAGGAGGAAAAATCTGTTTTTGGTTAGCTTATTTCCTTATTAAGTCCTCAATCAATTTTAAATTTATATATTTTTTAAATCAGGGAGCGTGGAGTTTTTTGTATTTTTATTAACTTTTTAAGTTTTTTTTTAATAGCGGTAACATTATTTATCACTGAGGTAATAATGTTATTGGTATTTTGGAGCTACAGGACAATCACCTGCCACACCTGCCACAGTATCACCACTGTCTGTCACCAACCACCAAATTACCTACAGTGCACTACCATAGATTTTTTTTTATATTTTGTACTAAAAAAAAGATATCTTAAAAAAAATCTATCAATATGTTTTGTTTTAGCCTTGTGTTGGGTTAGAGAATTTTTTTAGAACCAAATTTCCATCACTAAAATGTAGATCAAATTAAAATATGGGAAGATCACTCATTGACTCTCATTCATTTCATTGAAATGAAAAAATCATTCCATTATTTATAAATAAAGCCACAGCTTTATTTTAAAGAGGCAGGCGAAAGTAAGCACTCTAGCATTCTGGCATAAAATGCCATTTTAAAAAAAAATTAGAGAGCTGAAAGAAAATGTTAGTTTAAAAATGAATCATAATGGCCCTCCCTGGTGGTGCAGCGGATTAAAGCACTGCACTGAGAAGCTAAAGCCACTTGTGCATGAGTTCGATTCCCACCTGCCCCGGAGGTGACCACATGGCGTGGCAGACCTCTCCTGACCCGCCCGCTGCTCCCCTCAGCAGTGTACTTCTTCGATCTGCCTGTTCTGTTCCCCACTCTGTCCCTGGTGAATCCTCTCACCCTCCACATCTCTGGCCTGTACCCAGTTCTGTATGAATAAATAAATCTTAAAAAAAAAATACAAACAGTACTCCACCTTGACACATGAAATTGTACATGAGTTGCCTCCATTTCTACTTTTTTAGTCTTATTTCAGTAGGGAGTTATTGATAACTTCCTGAGGAGCAAAAATACTTTTGATCACCTCTTTGCCTTTCTTCATGCTGCCTTCTCTATCTTCAGATCTTTCAGCTTACCTTCTCCTTTTTCTTAAACATACTTACCAGGCATGACCATCTTTATAAATTACCCTAACCACTCTAATACTATATTTGTCATTTATCACTTGTGATAAATGTCATTTGTCACTTACATATCTCTCTCAAGGTTGTGGATATTTTGAGAGCTAGAGTCTTAACATATTTGTATTTCTAGTGATCAGTATATAGTAGAATTTCAGCAAATGTTTAATGAGCTTTTTTTTTTTTGCAATTGTAATTGTGAATGAAAAGCAAAGTCAGAATTGTGGTGACTTACTGAAATTAAAGACACTAGTAGTAGAAGGTAGACACTTAACACTTTATAAAGGAGAAAACAGTGAACTCCGTTTTGTTCTTCTGGAATCAGAATCACAAAATGTCTAAATTTAATGATATCCTGAGTAAAGACTTTACAATGAGAGAAGAAGGATGAATAAAACAGGAAAAGAAGGAAAGACATGGCAAAGAGTTGACAAAAGTCAATTTTCAGGCCCTCCCTGGTGGCGCAGCGGGTTAAAGCACAGCACAAAGAAGCTTAAGCCACTTCCACATGAGTTCGATCCCCGCCTGCCCCGGAGGTGACC